ATACATCGACAAAACACATTGATATCAAAGAGCTGTATGCTCGAGAGATTCATGATAAGGGAATAATAGTATTACTATACTGCAACACAAATTATATGATTGCAGATGTTCTCACAAACGCACAACCTCAAACTCAATTTGAGAAACTCAGAAGTTTCATGGCGGTAAAGAATTTAAGCCTCCCCTTACCACAATAGGTGTGGGGTATTTGGACTTTCGGCACTCTGTATCACAAGATACTTCGAAGTTAAAGAGCCAACATGTGGCATATCCTCGCCGTCCGTGTCAAATTGAAGTGCAAAGATACTTCTCAAGACGAAGGGCAAAAGATACTCTCGAGTTGAAGTGAAAGAGTAATGGCCAAGTTGAAGTGCACCAAGCATACGACTTATGGGGTTAAAGCAAAAGCAATAAGACGTAACGTTATGATATTGGTTAACTCTCAGACGCTCACATGTCAATGGTTATGTACTAGACTACGACAGAACACGATAGAGTGCGGAAACCAAATAAGAACCACCGTTGATCGCATCTAGGAAGAAGGGACCCCCAGCCGTGCTTAAGTGGAACATGCCGAAGCGCTCCCCAGTCTCTGGAATTGGTGGTATCACAGACCAAAGCCTGGGCATTTTACTTGACTGTCGTAGCCCCCCCCCCGGAGGGTTTAATATCGGTCAAAGGCGCCAAGTCGAACCGTGAATGCTAAAATCGGAAAATGAAAATTGGTTGGGTCACAAAATTTGGAAATAAGGGAATAGGTGCGAGTAATGGAACGTCCCAAATTTCGGGTGTCGCAAAATTTAGGAGCCATCTATTGTGAAAAGTCACAGTGCACCCCCAGATATAGCAAATACTATCAGAGAATCAAGAAAATTCCTGTCATGCTATAGTAAGAGCCATTATAAGGCAGCCCAGAGAGTACTAAAGTATATGAAAGGAGCGTCGACGTACGGACTCGCATTTGCGGTAAAAATAAGGAAGTGATATATGAGCTGTACACAGACGCGAGATTCGCGAATGCTAATGAAAACCGAAAATCAGTGACTGAGTATGTGAGTATTACGGCAGACGCGTGTATTACTTGGAAACGTTCAAGACAAAGTACTGTGAGCCTCCATGCAGCGCAGGCTGAATTAATAGCCGCGAGTGAAGGTATTAAGGAAAGCAAGGTTATGAGAACTATTATAGGAGCTGGGATTTATGCAAACACAGCCGATATTGTGTTGGTGTGACAATAAGGGGGCAGTAAGTATCATTAAGGACCCAGCAAACCATACATCGACAAAACACATTGATATCAAAGAGCTGTATGCTCGAGAGATTCATGATAAAGGAATAATAATATTACTATACTGCAACACAAATTATATGATTGCAGATGTTCTCACAAACGCACAACCTCAAACTCAATTTGAGAAACTCAGAAGTTTCATGGCGGTAAAGAATTTAAGCCTCCCCTTACCACATTAGGTGTGGGGTATTTGGACTTTCGGTCACTTTGTACCACAAGATACTTCGAAGTTGAAGAGCCACCTGAGGCATATCCTCGCCGTCCGTGTCAAATTCAAGTGCAAAGATACTTCTCAAGACGAAGGGCAAAAGATACTCTCGAGTTGAAGTGAAAGAGTAATGGCCAAGTTGAAGTGCACCAAGGATACGACTTATGGGGTTAAAGCAAAAGCAATAAGACGTAACGTTATGATATTGGTTAACTCTCAGACGCTCACATGTCAATGGTTATGTACTAGACTACGACAGAACACGATAGCGTACGGAAACCAAATAAGAACCACCGTTGATCGCATCTAGGAAGAAGGGACCCCCAGCCGTGCTTAAGTGGAACATGCCGAAGCGCTCACCAGTCTCTGGAATTGGTGGTATCACAGACCGAAGCCTGGGCATTTTACTTGACTGTCGTAGCCCCCCCCCCGAAGGGTTTCATATCGGTCAAAGGCGCCAAGTCGAACCGTGAATGCTGAACGCAAACTGGAGAGTGAATGGACTGCCGGAAATTGGTTCTAGCAAAGACAAAAATAGTAGAGGTGCAATACAGAGGCAGAAGCCATAGGGAAATCGGAAAATGAAAATTGGTTGGGTCACAAAATTTGGAAATAAGGGATTAGGTGTGAGTAATGGACCGTCCCAAATTTCGGGTGTCGCAAAATTTAGGAGCCATCTATTGTGAAAAGTCACAGTGCACCCCCAGATATAGCAAATACTATCAGAAAATCAAGAAAATTCCTGTCATGCTATAGTAAGAGCCATTATAAGGCAGCCCAGAGAGTACTAAAGTATATGAAAGGAGCGTCGACGTACGGACTCGTATTTGCGGTAAAATTAGGAAGTGATATATGAGCTGTACACAGACGCGAGATTCGCGAATGCTAATGAAAACCGAAAATCAGTGACTGAGTATGTGAGTATTACGGCAGACGCGTGTATTACTTGGAAACGTTCAAGACAAAGTACTGTGAGCCTCCATGCAGCGCAGGCTGAATTAATAGCCGCGAGTGAAGGTATTAAGGAAAGCAAGGTTATGAGAGCTATTGTAGGAGCTGGGATTTATGCAAACACAGCCGATATTGTGTTGGTGTGACAATAAGGGGGCAGTAAGTATCATTAAGAACCCAGCAAACCATACATCGACAAAACACATTGATATCAAAGAGCTGTATGCTCGAGAGATTCATGATAAGGGAATAATAATATTACTATACTGCAACACAAATTATATGATTGCAGATGTTCTCACAAACGCACAACCTCAAACTCAATTTGAAAAACTCAGAAGTTTCATGGCGGTAAAGAATTTAAGCCTCCCCTTACCACAATAGGTGTGGGGTATTTGGACTTTCGGGCACTTTGTACCACAAGATACTTCGAAGTTAAAGAGCCAACATGTGGCATATCCTCGCCGTCCGTGTCAAATTGAAGTGCAAAGATACTTCTCAAGACGAAGGGCAAAAGATACTCTCGAGTTGAAGTGAAAGAGTAATGGCCAAGTTGAAGTGCACCAAGGATACGACTTATGGGGTTAAAGCAAAAGCAATAAGACGTAGCGTTATGATATTGGTTAACTCTCAGACGCTCACATGTCAATGGTTATGTACTAGACTACGACAGAACACGATAGAGTGCGGAGACCAAATAAGAACCACCGTTGATCGCATCTAGGAAGAAGGGACCCCCAGCCGTGCTTAAGTGGAACATGCCGAAGCGCTCATCAGTCTCTGGAATTGGTGGTATCACAGACCAAAGCCTGGGCATTTTACTTGACTGTCGTAGCCGCCCCCCCGGAGGGTTTCATATCGGTCAAAGGCGCCAAGTCGAACCGTGAATGCTGAACGCAAACTGGAGAGTGAATGGACTGCCGGAAATTGGTTCCAGCAAAGACAAAAATAGTAGAGGTGCAATACAGAGGCAGAAGCCATAGGGAAATCGGAAAATGAAAATTGGTTGGGTCACAAAATTTGGAAATAAGGGAATAGGTGTGAGTAATGGACCGTCCCAAATTTCGGGTGTCGCAAAATTTAGGAGCCATCTATTGTGAAAAGTCACATGTTATTTCCGAAATGTCGCAATTTGATTTAGGATAAAGTATGCCATATGTGATCAAAACAGGATAGGAAAGAGTGTGTCCACTATTAAGATATCCACAAGTAGTCCAGAAATACGTAAGGTTATATGGTATTTTTGCTAGATAAGTCGCAGCTGGATTTAGGATAAGGCGAGTCATGTGCAACCACAGAAGGGATAAGAAGGATGTGCCTAAACTTTTAGTGGGAGTGTTAGAATACACTTTAACTGATCAAAAATGTATCCAATAGAAAATGTTCAAACATCCTACTTCTTAAGGAAACTTGATAAGTGAAAAACACATGGCCGAGGGATGTTAATAGCGAAGGAGGACGCGTGGCTTGCACCCGCTTTTAAAAGACCTCCTCACTTTGAAACTGATAGCCTATTAACTTAAAGCTTATTATGCACCTTTAACGGCCGTCATTTCATCGCGATGCTCGCTGTGCTCGATGATCCTGGGATGTGTAGTGCGAGCCCGGCTTAGGACGATTCAGAGTACTACGGCGACACGCACTGCTTCTGTGACGCTTCCTACTCCTGGCCTTCTGCCCTCTCGACGTGAAGGAAGATCTTGCAGCTTAAAGTCTCTTCGATCTGATCGCTGATACGCTATCTTGCTATAACAAACCGTGGGATTATGTGCACTTCATGGTTGCCGACAATTGTAGCGTCAGCCACTACATAGGAGATCGGGATGGAGGCATCCCTATGGTCGGCTGCGCTTTGCATAGGTTCAACCTGGCAGCGTCCGACTATGTAAAGGACTTCGAGCCGCTGCTGTCAAAATCCACACTCTAATGACCAAGTTACGAACCATTAAGGGGGGTGCCATTCTTCGTCGTGTAACGAATCTGTCGCCTCTTCTACGAAACGACACTCGGTGGTCAAGTACCCATGCCATGGTACAGCGCTATACGCAGCTTCAGGCAGGTCTAAATTCACCGGACCAAGGTACTAAAGTCGAGTTCGGTCTTCAGCCGCTCTATCTCCGACGGGCCGAGTCATAACGAGCGCATTCTCTTCTAAAGGTGCTCAACGATTTTGAGGGGGTCACTAAGACACTGCGACGCTCGACGCTAATGCTGTCTGGTGCTCGGCATCTGTTTGATCTCGTATGCCAGCGCTACCCACAGCTCAAATCTCGCCTTACACCAACGGCTGCCATCGTTAATAATGTGCCCCTTGAAAGTGGTATAGTCAAGCTTTAACGGAAGGAGACTTTGTGGCCCTTGTTCAGGTGTGGGCACAGCAATCGCGACGCTGCGATAAATTGCGGTTAGTGTGAGGTGGCTGTTGTCCAAGTGAAATCTGGATGCTCAGCCCAGTCTGTTCCACAGCTTGTCCAAGAAAACGCTCGCAACCTACCAACCATTTGCCTCTAGCTAGAGAACCGCTTGCTTATCATTTTATTTGGCATTTAGATGGGCGAGTTGAGCGACGTTGACCTCTGCGACCCTACTAGCAGCCATGGTCCGACAGGATCAGATCACCCAGCGCTTGGAGCGAAAGCCAAGCCTGCGCCGTTGGCTACTAGCTCCAAGAAGTCGAAGATTGGGAAGCGGTTCAAGTGGTCAGGCGAAATGATTGCAGGGCTGCTGAGGCTGCGTTTTGTGGACGGCGACGTCAAGCACCGACTTGAGAGTGCCCAGACGAAGACTCAGACGGCGCTAGCATAGCAAAAGTTTGCCAGTGTGCTGTCGCAGTCGCTCGGCGTTGTGATTACTCGTGAACAGGTTCGAATATTGGATGCCGCTTAATTGTGACGTGTTACAACGTTTGCTGGGGTGTGTGTACAGGTTTCACAAAAGTATAGGAAGCTTAAATGTATATATTGCAAGGAGAAAACAGAGTCGAAACTAATTAGTAACTTTTCTCGTGAATTACGAGAAATTGACGAAAGGCTGTGGACTACTTTGCATGACGCTTTTTCGGGACGTCCCGGAATTAGTGGAGAGGTTCTATTAGACTCCCGTCTTAATGAAAATGGAAGCGAGAGCGCGGCAAACGACAATGCTAGTCGTTCAGACGCATTTAAGAAGCCTAAAGCGGGTATTACCAAGGGCAAAACCACCCCAGTCGACAATCTAGCTAGCTCAATGCAAGCGGGTATGGAAGCTATTGCTGCGTCTCTCACAGAGCGGGCTTCGTCTTAGTCATATGATTTGTTGGCAAGCCTGGCGGAGACGCTGAAGCGTCAACACGAGGAGGCTCTCAAATGTCAAGTGCTCCAGCTGCAGCTACTGGAAAACTCACAGCGAAAGAGAAATTAAGACAGTAAATACGTTAGTCAAGACGTAATACAATCTCCACATCCATGCCTAAAACACTTAATTGTTTTACATTATTACACTATGAGATGAATATATCTGCTATGTCGTTTCGTTTGGATATTTTTAAGAGTGTGCGAAAAGGGCTGCTCCGATACCGGTAGTCCTCCGTCGTCATCATTGAAAAGTGGTTGTGATCGAAGCGGGTCGATACCTTGAGCATCAACGCTGTCCTTCGCAGACATCAGCATGTTATGTAGAGCAACACAGCTGTAGACCAATTTGCAAATACGTTCCGGTGTCTTCTGCTCTAGCTTGGCTGAAGAACAATTTCAGGATTCTTCTAGGCTTCCGAATGTGCACTCTACTGCTATTCGAGTACGCGAATGCAGGCGATTGTAGACACGGGTCCGGTAGCTATCGATGACTTCCGACTCCGAGGACGGAGTCACAATGTGCGCCCAAATCTTGTAGCACGCGTCCCCCAATAAGTGTTTCCCCCGAGAAACAAATTCTGACAGCCTTAACAAGAATGTTGCAGAGGCTAATATGATTTAGCAACAGCTTTTGAAATTCTAAATACAATCCATAAAACACTTTACCGTTTTCGGCCCCCGGACCCATTCCATAGAGACTGATCGTTGTTGGAGCCTGCGCGAATGGAAATGGAGCGAAATCGGCCTAGATGGCCAACTATCGCATGAATATTCACAGCAGGAAACCCTTTTCAGCAATATCATCCCTCGAGTCATGAGGGCGTGGTATTGCGACGAGCGTTCCATCCACGGCTCGAACTACGTCAGGGAGGCCAGCTACTAATTGAAAGCCCTCCTCCACTTCTTTTACTTCCGAAGAATCAGGGAGAACAACGTACTTGGCTGTCATGTGACTGAGGACCTCCATACATTCGTAAATGTAAACAACCGAGAAATTCCCATTATTGAGGCAGCCGAGTCCATAGTTCCCCCCTATGCATTGCTAAAGCAAGTTGTTTAGCTAGTGGGCACATACTGTTCGCAGCAGGCTTGCATTCGTACGCAGCGTGCACCTCTCGGCATATCCGTTGGAAGGACTTACAATCACACCTCAGTTTTTTATGAAACCAGTCAGTGTTCGAAGCACCCAAAGCGTCTTCGAACGGTGCTGTAGGGAACGTGAAGACCTTCGATGTCGGACGCCTACAGTCTCGTTAATCAAGTGTAGCAGCTGTGACAGCTGCAGCGCATGCAGTGAGCACCACGATCGCAATAGTGACACCCTCAGGGTCTATTTGGTCCTTGTGTGGGTTTATAAATGCGTAGTAGCACAGCTGTGCTCCAGTCAGAACACCGATGCACTCGCAGACTGAAATGTATCGTGCTGGAACACGAAATCTGAAAAAAGGTTCAGTGTACCCTTCTATTCTGGCCAATCAGAGTCACTTTGAATTTTAGCACAGAATATGTGCCAGCACTTAAGCTAGGGCCTGACCACTGCTGAACGCGTTGCCTGCGCTGAATTTCGCCGTGGTGACCGTGGAACGTCGTAGGCAACGCATTCAATGCAGCCCACGTCGGAGCTTTCGTTGGTACAGCAAGAGTTCAAGAAACGCCAGACTACGAGGCGCGTACTGTATTCTGATGTTTACTTTAACGGAAAATCTACTGACCAGGTTGTTTTTACATAGCCGTGCGACAAATGACCAGGGTATTGACCAGGTAATCAGTACGGTATTGACCAGAATGTAATTAAAAAGTAAATTACAATGATGTGCAAAGATTCCCCTTACCCTATCAAATCTTAAGATTTTATACAACGGTGGGCGGTGAAACGTTCTCCTGGCCTCTTATTTCTCAATTTGCGCCGAAAGCCCACAATGAAGCGGAAACTGTGTAATGTGGAAGACGTCGACTCCGACGAAGACGACGAAGCTGTGTCAACGTTCGGTGAAGGAGGAGATAGTTCAGGCGACGACAATGAAGACACGGACCGGACGCAGCTAGCCCAGGGCACGCAGTTTGTTCGGGAGGGCAGCGAAGACTCACTCGACGATCTCTTACTCCAGGAAGATTCATTTGAAGGGAAGGAGCTGAAGCGGCTCCACGCCAGCTGGGACGCTTGGGAGAGGTATCGAGTTAATTACTGCGAGGAGGAGAACGCGCAGCTAGTCGTTCAAGAAGCAGAGAGTGTGTCGAAGCGCAACAAGCAGCTGCGTGAGTCCAAACGTGCGAAGAGTGGCCGGGGCGTCCGCTACTTACCTGACGACTTACCGCGGTGGCGACGCAGGTATATTTGCACCCATGGAGCGAAATCTCGGCGCCGTGGTATGGGAAAGCGGCAGCAGTACCGACTTCGTGGTACTGGCTGTCCGTTTCGATTCACAGTCGAAAGTATTTTCGTCAAGGGCAAGTGGATTGTAGAGGTGAAGAACCCTATATATACGCACAACCACGCGCTATCCGAAGTGGTGTTCGAAAACTATCCACATAATCGGCAGATACAGATGTGTGAGCCTATTGTTGAAGACCTCCGGCTGATGGTTCGAGCGGTCGGTAAAAGTTTGCGCATTTACGAGTACATTCGTGACTATTCAAGCTACAAGGTGACGCGCAAGGACGTGGCTAACCTCCTAGTCAAGATTCGCAATGAAATGCGTGGAGAAGCAGACGACGATTTGGCTGTTGCAGAGTTTCTTATGGAGTTTTGTGAAAAGGACAAAGACAATGTGGTTAGTGTGGACGATACATCTTCCGGAGAGACCGGTGCTATTTCTCTGACTACGAGACGTATGCGAGCCACGTTCGCCAGGTTTCCAGAGCTCTTGTTGGTTGACTGTACCCACAAAACCAACAGGTAAGGTTTTCATACAGAATTTGCCAGGTTTCATTCCAGGTTTATGCCGGGTTAGACACCAGGCTTTCACATAGGTGATTGGCCAGGTTGAGTATCAGTTATAAACCAGGTTTTAATCCTTACTAATTCAGTTCACGTTTGTACCTTCAGATATGACTACCAACTTTGCAGTTTAATGGTTATGGATGCGTTCGGTCGAGGGCAATTCGTGCAGCATTCGTTAATTGAAACGAATTCCGACTGGCACATGCGCAAAGCTCTTATTCACTTCAAGACTGCCAACGTTGGTTGGGACGCACTCCGTGTCGTGATGGTCGATAAAGACATGACGGAGATCTCTGTGATCCGTGAAGCTTTTCCTGAAGCGACAGTTTTGCTCTGCCATTTCCATGTGTTGAAGTTTTTACGTGGGGTTGTCCGTGAGGCGCGCTTCGGGCGTTATTCGCCAAGTGAATACGATGCCATGGGTCATCTCTTCGCTAACTTGGTGGAAGCTACTTCAGAAGAGGTCTACGCTAAGAATTTTTATCTTTTAGAGACGTTTTCTTGCGCTCAAGGCAACGTGTCGTTTTGGGAGTACTTTTGTCAAAACTGGGATGAAAGCAAGGATATATGGACACACTACAAACGTCAAACATTGCCGCATTTTCGTAACAATACGAACAACCGTATCGAGTCGAGCTTTGAAAAGATCAAACTCGATCTTGACGGTAGTTGTTCAATGTAGGAGTGTCTGGAGTCTCTTCTTCGAACTCAGCGTCGATGCGATAACGAAAGTCTGGCAAGGGTGGCGTTTGAGGGGGCGTGGACACATTACGGCTACGATCAAGAACTTAATTTGGTATTACGTCTGTGTACACCTTGGGTAGCATCTACGCTGCAGCCTGAGTATGAGCTCGCTATCTCCGACGTCGCGGTCCGGCTGTACACATTTAACGCAACCTCTGACAACACAGTGGAAGTGGAGCGGGGTTTGAAACGATACTCATTTAGCAAGGCTGACTGGATTTGTGATTGTGACTTTTCGACAACTCTCAAGCTTCCATGCCACCATGTGATATGCTTTCGCCGCTTTGCTGGACTTGTTCCGTGTATTCCAGTGTCCTACATTCACTCGAGATGGTTAATTAAGGATTCGTTGTCTTTGATAAGCTTGCCACACGTGGATGTTTTCAATTACTCAAAGACTACCAAACCTATCGGGGAGTACAACGTGGATTCGGTGCTGGATAGTCGACAAAAATACAGCATATCAAGGAATCTGCTTAACCGTGTAGCACAGGAGCTAGCTGACTTGCCGATGCGACTTTTCAGCAAAGAGATGGAGTACCTGAAAGACTACCTGGGCCGACTGCGCACTGGTTTGCAACCTGTGGAGATACCTGCAGGTGAACCTGTGAAAAAACCTGTAGTTAAATGTGTGGAAAAACCTGGTACGCAACCTGCAGAGAAGCCATGTCATCAATCTGCCGAGCATTCTTTAAACGAGTTGGATGGAGTTGAGAATGGAGACGACGAAAAAGAAGATGAAGGCGAGGTCACGGATGACGCAGTTGTAGAACCTCCAGAACAAAATTTGGAGGTTCAACCTGATGAAAAACCTGGAAGTGAGCATGAAGAAAAACCTGTAATGAACCCGGGTGAGGTGTCTGTAAAGAAACCTGAGGAAGAACCTGTATTGTCATCTGGCAGTAAACATGTTACAGATCGTGTAGTAAATCCTGTTACGAATCCTGTGGGTACACCTGATGTACTAGATGAGAATCCACCCAAGCCCATCAATTTGAGCAAGAAGGTGCGGCGGGCTGGGCGACCGAAAACAACTGCAGCGCAAAACTCCAAGAAACGAGCCACAGCGCGTAAGAAATTCAATACACGACTGGAGAAAGGCGGAGCGCTATCATTCGAGGACGTCGGGGTTGTTGCGCGCATCCTTGGCGACATAAACATCAGTTTTACCGATATTTCCGAATTGCTGGATGTTTATCCAGTACAGTATGAGAGTGCTGCTCGTAAGCATCCAAAAGTTGGTGGAGATAAGAAGCCGATTCTGAGCGCTGCTCTACCGTTCCTACTGCCTGCTCCATTAGTGAAGAAATCCTTAGATGTAATCTACGAGTCTGGCGCAGTTCCGTTGCCAAGCCAAACCGATGAAGAACCCCCATACGTCAAGATTACCGGTATTGGCAATTTTTCGCTGTATCAAGTCGACTGCATGCAGAGGGTATGGACAATGAAAGAGGCTGTTGTGATGGGCAAGAGACTAGTGGAGTGGTTGAAGTGTGTACGCGTCCGAAAGAAACGAGCAGAAGACGTTCTTAAGCGCGTTCTGCAAGCGCATCCATTTGAAATCGTGGAGGGTAATATCGGTGATTTGGATTACTCAACGCTGTACAGACTCCGAAGGACTGGATAAGCTCAAAGATATTTGAAGCAATGGGAGAGATTTGGAAAAGAAATCATAGCGTGACCGTGGTTACAACTGCAGGGTTTAAGCTCAACAGAAAGGTCAAGGGGGTCGACGTGCCGGCTGGTTTGTTGGACAAACTTACGTCTATCACTTCCAGATTGGTGTTTATACCTGTTAACTTTGCGCAAGTGCATTGGACTGCGATTATTATCAACACGACGACGAAGAGCATTTTTGTCTACGATCCGCTGGGGGACCAAGACTACATCACGTTTCTCACCAAGCTTCAGAGCAGCATCACTAAAGATCAAGCGTTCAGTAGCTTCAAACTGGTTTTGGTCGCGTCGCCGACGCAAGACGATGGAAACAGCTGCGTAATATACATTCTGAACTTCATGTGGAGACTGATTGACGAAAATGTGAAGAGTGCGCATGAGGACTCTGGACTCAATATCTTCCGGCTACGTGTGCTAGCAGCCCTGCTTAATCTGTAATACATTTGTTTACTCTGTGTAATTGATGTGTACGTATTCCCGTTATAGCGTAAGTACCTGTGCAAAAGACGCACCAGACATGAAAAGAAACTTGTCCATGAAAGACAGAGAGAAAACGTGAAGAAGCTATCGACGCCTTGAATAACCACAAGGTGCTCAAACCTGGTAAGCGACCGGCATCAACCTGGTTTCCAGCCTAAAACCAAAGCAGTATTGAAAAAAAAACAAGTTCGAAAACCTGGCAGAAACCTGTTTGAAAAACCTGGTGTAAATCCTGACACCAAAATAAAAGGAAAGGATACAATCCATCTTATCACACCTGCACTTACACCTGGTGCGCAACCTGGTATGTAACCGGACACGCAACGAAGACGGAGCTACAGCTCAGCTTGCAGCCGGATGTCGTCCAAGCACCATGATTACTTTGGAGCCCGACTTCGATATAAAATGGACGCGCAGATCTCTTTATGAATCAGTATTCAAGAGCTGCAGAAAAACAAAGAACATCCATTTATTTATATTACGGTTATATTACAGGTGAATTTTATCTTACAGCCTGTTTTACCCTGCCAAATTCAAATCAGAAGATAAAACAGGTTAAATTCGCGCGGCTATGCAAAAAGAACCTGGGCAGTATACTCGTTCTTATTTTAACCAAGATAAAGCACCGCTACTTCGCAGCATCTATGCGACTACTGCCAAGGAGCTGGTACAAAAAAAATTCAATTCCCACTCGAGTCCCAGTTGTAAAAATGGGCAGGAATATCTACGGTCAAAATCTCCCTTTGTTTCTCTTACCCATTTTATGTGGCGCACACAATGAACAATTGACAAGCATAACTTTTTGGTTGGCTGAACCTGCGTAGCCATTCGGTCCCTCGCTGTGGCAATCTACCGGTAGCATCATGGGCAAGGCCAAGAAGCTCCGCTCCATGAGCCACAAGAAGCGCGCGCCTCCCACAGGCGGCCCATCCACCGCGGAACTCGAGGAGTTGCAGGCCATGGACTTAAGCACCATGGCGGCAGACGAAGCGCAGCTGTTCAAGGGTCTCGTGGACTTGCAGGGCGCCGTGCGTGAGGCTACTTGCGTGGCAATCGCCACCATGTTCGGTGACGTAGAGAGCGACGAAGCAGAGACCAAGAGTCGCCGCAAGCTGCAGCGTATGGTGGACGCAGGTCTACTCAAAAAGCTCATCCCGCGCGTCGTCGACCCGCTTCCCATGGTCCGTCAGCACGCGCTTGGCGCGCTGCGCAACATGAGCGTGACCGGTGGTTTGGAGCTATGCGAGCTCATGACCACACAAAACGTCGTCACGCCACTGGTCAAGGTCATTACAGATAACGCCACAGACGCCGCACTTAACGGTAGCAGTGATCTGCGTGCCGTGCAGCTACTGGAACAGGCCGTCGCACTGCTTGGCAACCTGTGCGAGAGCTGCCAGGCCGCCATCAATGAGCTGACACAGGGCGAGCTGCTTCCTCCCATCTTTAAGATCGCGGCACAGGCTCGCACCCACACAGCGCTGCATCTCGAGACGCTTAAACTGCTGCTACTGATCACTGAGGGCAATGCGCAACTAAACGAGATCATTGGAGCCAATTCCGCCTACCAACAGACGATCGGCGCACTAATCCAAGCACCGGCGGACCAACTGTCGCTGCAGGTGCGACTGGAGGCGGTGGGTATCGCCATGAACTTGCCGGCGATCATGCAGCTGGAGGACAATGTGGCACGTATGGTGCCTCTTCTGGAGGCGGCGTTGGCATATGATGCTGTGAACGTTGTGCAGATGGCACAACAAGCGTCGGAGAACTACGAACTTTCGCAGAAGTCTTTACTGGAGGACGAGAATGTGGACGATGACACGCAAACCAGCGAGGAGGAGCAGAAGATCACGGCGGCACAGCTGAAGGTTCGGACATGGCGTGACAGTGTGCATACACTGACACTGGCTCTGGAACTGGTTGCTCAATTGGCTGCATCTGGAGACGAGAACGATGAGGAGGAGGTGTGGGCCAGTGACGACGAGGACGCTATGGAGGAGTACGCAGCGTCGCACATGGACACCGGAGCGATCGGAGCTGCTGATAGCCCCGTGTCAAAGTCATTGGAAACCAGCCGCGTCTTCCCGCTTTGTGTTACCATCTTACAAGGACTCGTGTCGATCCCGCAAGTCTCTACAAAGATTATAGGTAAGTCCTCAAGCTCTTGTTATGTGTTCTGCTCCTTGTTGTACTAAAATTTTATAAATTTGCTCACTATATCAGCTAAAGACTTCGAGAAGATGCGTATCCGTGTGTGCAACGCTGTCAATAATCTCCTGTTGAGCGTGTCGTGGGAGGTTCTCGGCGAAGATGTTGTGCCCCAGATCTTCCGCAACCTCTGTGCACTCTACGGAAATCTCAATCGCGAGAGTGAAGCAGCTTCCGCTGCTCCTATGGATTTCACGCTTGAAAGCAGCGCCACAAATGATATCGAAGTTGCTGTGACTGCGGCTATGCTATCGGCACTACGTCGCAGCACTTCGGAGAACCGTCAGCTGGCTGTTGCTGCGGAGGATGCTCAGCTGATCCTGAACTGCGCGGCTCAGGGACGCTCCGCGGAGTCTCGTCTAAACGCTATTGGTATGATCGGCTGTGTGGGCAAGCGCTGCTCCAGTCCGGCAGAAAAGGAGGCTGTGGGTCGCGCTCTGGTGTCACGACTGGATGACTCGAGCCTCGAAGTGGTGGCCGAGACGCTCAACGCCGTCTTCGACGTGTACGACGACGAGGAATTCGACGACATTTTCCGCGCTCTCAACTTCTTGAGTGCGCTAGAACGTACATCCAGTGCGTTAAAGTCGAAGCTGAAGGCAGAGCAGAAGCAGTTAGATCGTGCTCTTGTTGCCCACGTGAAGGAGACGCGTCTCAACCTACTTCGCTTCATCAAGTACAAGAAGAAGCATCTGTAATCGCACCTCCAATTAGCTTCAATTGTACTTGTTTATCTATGCAGTTCCTCAATAGTATGGGTCAGAGGAGTCATATAGCTGGACACGAGAGCAGCGGTAGCCGAGTCGGATGAGCCGCTGTGCAGCTCGACCTGTGGAATAGTCTTTAGCTGTACCATCTTGCCAATACGTGACTCCAGACACCAATGGACCATTCAGGTACCAGCGGATCCCAGTCTCAGCGAACACGTCTTCTAAGCAGCCCGGCAGAACGTACTTTTGTGTCTGACTGGATCCGGTCGACGTCTTGACCACTGCTGCAGATGCCAGTGTTGTGTTGCATACGCACTCGACCAAGCTCGGGTAAATAGCAGTGGATTTAGTGGTGGTCGATGTGGTGACGGTGGAGATGACTGACGCTGCCGATACGGAGCGCACAGCCAAGCCGATGAATAGCCACAAGAAGAAGGATACTCTGATGAGTTGCATAGTTTCACACTGCGACGGAGAGTCGCTTGGTAACCAACGACCCTGACTGGACGTTGGTATCATTCCGGTCTACAAGAACAAGCATGCAGTTCACACCGCAACAACTTGTTGGTGCTGGGCGCTATGCGCCTATTACCCGCATCGGTAATTGGAATGAGGACTTGATGCTGGAAGAGGCTCGGATGAAGGATTTTACTCTACGCAAGACACAAGGATCGCTGCTGGCTACTCACACACTTAAAGCGGCGTTCCTGAACCAGAAAGCACCTCGCTCTTTCGATCTCGACAGCCGTATCTGCTTGAATCAAGCGATAGCTCTAGGTCACCTCGAATCAGACGCGGTGCTGGCGTGCAACATCTTCGAAGAGACCCCGTCGATCGGATCGGACGAGTATCTCGTCACCGCCATGTCATCGAACACTCCGGTATCGCGCAATACTTTCCGTCTAGTGTCACCTCAGACCTGGAAAGCGGCAGTAGCTCGTGGTGGCTTCGACCTGAGCGCCCCGGGAGAACCACTGCGCTATGATGAACCGTTTCTCATCATGTGCAATGAAGCTTTACTTGTGGATGACAAGAGTGTGTTACTTAAATCTCCTCTGTTCCTCAAGTCCGGTCTGAAAACTGAACGATCCATGAGTCCCATCACATACAAACAGCATGTGTGGCTGAGTACTGAAGCAGATAGCGGCGCTCTTTGGATCTGTGCCAAGGCAGATTTGGCTGGAACGGAGAAACTACTCGCTGCTGGACAACAAGTTAAGACTGGGGACCGCATTGCGATCACACACAAGATGACCGGACAAGCACTGTTCGCGAGTAGTGGCAGCAAACAGCCCACAGACTTTGGCGTGGAGCTCGAGGTTTGCTGTCATTCTGTGAGAGGCACCGGTAAACGTCACCATCTAGCAGCCGAAACGGAGGGGATACGTACACCTGATACGGAAGGACTTCACAACGTGAACATTAACACTTGGACGTTCGTGCTGGCTCGATCGGTTCACGAAGCTCAAGATGATCGCTCGTTGCCTCACTTTGCCAGCGCAGCGTCTGTCATCGAGGTGCTTCAACGATGCTTTGCTGCTGACAGCCTGTACACGTTCCGAACACTCCTTGTTGCCCTTACGCGGGCCGATACTCGGGGAACAGGGCATCTAAACCACGAAGATGCCAAGTGGGTTATTCGTCAGCAACACAGCAGTCTTCCTCTACGTGATGAGCATCTAGATCTGCTTTTCGACAGCTTTGACAAACGTAAAACTGGTTTCTTTCCGCTGGCTGAGCTCATCAAGGCACTGCGTGTTCCTATCTCTGCCAGTCGCCGAACTCTTATCGATGCTGCCTATGATCGACTGAAACAACAAGCGCCTGATGGACAGCTCACACTTAATGCCATTTGTGGAGCTTACGACCCGTCTATCGATTCGCGCGTTACTGCACAACAACTCTCCGGGAATGACGCAGCTGAAGCGTATAGGAAGCTCTGGCCGAATCAGGTTTGTTGATATTATTCGAGTAGTAGTTTCCTGTGGTAGTGATGCCGTGTTGCTAATCTTGCTGCTTGGCATCAGGATTCAAACGCTGAAGTATCTTACCGTGATTTCACCGAAGTGTACTCGGACATTTCGATGGTGGTGGCGCAAGACGCACACTTTGAGCAACTGCTTGCAGAGAGTTGGAAATGATTTCCAGATCTACATGTACTGGCACGATGCATTCGCATTTATTAACGATAACCCTTTCAAACTATATATCATTATCTTGTTGGCTAACGTTGAATATCCTTCACGTTGGCCTCGATTTTCTTGAGCAAAAGCATCGTAGCCTCACACTTCCGTTGCATCTCGTCAATCCACGCAGGATTCACAGACCCCATGTCTGTGTTTGGGTTCACGCTTTGAATATTCGGGATAGATGTGCGAACTGGAACAAGTTTTCGCGTCTCTAGCTGCGTTTGGTGGAGCTTCCCAGCGGAAAGATCCATCATTGTAGGTCCAGTCGAAGTCGGGCTTAAGTTTGACGCTCGTTGTTTAGCCTCTTGTCTTCGTTGTCCAAGCACACGAGCTCGACGATAGTACATTTTCTTCATTCGAATGATGTCACCAAAGGTAGCTCCAAGACCTGCTGTAATGACTTCGACGTGCTTGGAGAACGTGCTAAGTGGGTCGCCATCCATGTTGTACTTCATAATTTGCTTGATACTGTTCTGAAAGCGGCAGGCGTAAAGCTTCTTTTTCACCTCGTTCGGAAGTCTCTGTAGTTAAACATCAACACAAAAAAAAGTTAGTTCAGTTTGTTCAAAACATATTCAGTATTGTGGCCGCTTTTAGTACGTCGGATAGTGGTCGATAGAAGGTGTTGCAAAGTTTCTGTTGGTGCCAGACTAAAGAGTGTCTGTACGACTTGCAGAAACGAAACGTAGCCTGCACCGCCATGACGGCGCTGATTTCTCTCTTTTTGCTGAGTTCTCTCCGGTAAAGGAAGGCGTGTACCCTTGATTCCATTGAGGAGAAAGAAAACTTCCGCATGATGATGGAGAAGAACATGGCGTCTAGCATGACTGCAATGCACGCGGTAATAGCAATAATGGCTCGAACTCGTCCACTTTGTGGAGAAACGTCTCCATACCTAGCCGTAAAAAGTAATGGTCAGCATCATGAAAAAAAAAGTTCTAGGCAGACTTACCCAATGGAGAGAAACGTCATGAATATCATCCAGAAGGAGTCAGAAATGTACAACTCATTGCATATTGCATCTTCACTTTTCACAGTTTCTCCAGCGTCTTGCCTCCAGGAGCATTGGCCGGTGATGGTCTCCGTCGCATGCAGCAGATACGCTACAATTGCCCCAAGCAACGTGTAAAACGTTACAAGCTTACTGATAGGCGAGTCGTCAAGTACTTTCTTGATCACGAACTGCCGGTAGCTGAACTCTGCGTATTAATTAATGCTCCATACAATCAGAAATACGTAAAAACATCAAACTATGCGCAGACTTACCTAAGTTACCGCTAAAGCTTGCCACCTTTTCTTTCTGCCGGATCGGGTATGGGTAGTAGAGCCACTGCCCCCAGCTAACAGTGCGTAAGAACGATGAAGCGCTCAGTATCACTAATGTGCCGCCGGGTAGACGTGGAAAAAAAGTTTCAAGACCAGGATACGGGAAGATGGCAGTATACGTCAATTCGAGCCCGAATCGAAGAATGTAATCCTAAGTGGCAATCGCACAGTACAAAAATTTAGATAAATCACAGCAGTTGCATCGTCAATTCAAACTGGACCTACCACTTTCTTATAAATTGGAGACTCCTTGAGGTGTTTTTTCTTCCAGAGTTGGCTGCAGCGAATAAACAGCCGAACCAGCCCCAGGATTGCTATGATAACTCGGATCACATTGATTGCAGCAAAGTTGCTGTCGGGAAGTGTATCAAAGCAATTGGGTCGACTCAGGCACGCTCGTTTTTCACGCTGTCAGAAATGAAGGGAAAATAAAAGCTAGTACTATAGAAATTTCACCGTGTAACTTGCCAACATACCCAATGCGAAGATTTGTACGACCATTGCAGCTGCGCCATAGACAGAAACATGATGGCAAATTCAAGCGTGGCAACTCTCAGGTCGTTGTTAAAAACAAGCCGCTTCTGGTATGTTCGGAGAACGGAGTTGCGCTGCGTAAAGTAAGACCACCCTCTCTTGTCCACAGTAAATGAAACAGGAGGAGCCTCTTCCCCTTGTTGGTCCTGGTCATCGTGAACAAAACTCTGGCGACGGAGGCCGTTAACCTTGTTGCCGTCGGTAGGAGCTACGTTGCTGCTTGTACGCAGTGATTGCTCCGATAGGGCTTTCATTCGAGCACTCAGGCTTCGATGTATGCTCGACATCTTTGCCAATCAGGTATGCCTCGCCATCAAGGTCTTGCGTTTCAATCTCTAATTCGAGCAATACTCGATCCTAGCCAAAAAAAACGTTTTTAAAAGATATTTATTCACTGCTCTGCGACTGTAACTAGAGATGTAACTCGAGATCTTGATCGCTTTTCAAATAATTGGACTCCTGCGTTGAGCTCTTCGCGGAATATGAGTGCGTTCACCGATCGATGGATGAGAGCAGCAGCACTGAATTGGTTTAGCCGGTGAACTGAGATGTCGCTCTTGCGAATATTCCGTCCAGCTAGGTATTTTCGCCATCGTTTCTCAAGATTGAGCGACTTGGGTAATGCTTCGAGTGGCTGGTCACTTAGCTACGTGATTTAATGAGATGAGGCAGAGTCATGAAAATAATTGCCAATCCCAACGACTTACCTCGTCAATGACAAACTTGCCTACACGTCGAGCAACATCGTTGAAAAACACTTTGTTATCGCGAAATATGGGCACGTCAAGATAGGCTACACACATCAAAGATTAATGCTGCAGTCGTAAAAACAATCAATGAGAGGAAATCTTCCTTACCTACAAAAACTTGAATATCTTTCGACGAAGACCTGAGATTAGTCCCCACACCCATTGGAGGATCTAAAGTGGCAACAAATGATGGTAGTAAATGCCATTCGAGGAAACCTGTTGCTTCAGGATCGAATTGACACCACTTCTTGACAAACGTTTCGTACTAAACATTCAGAAACAAAACAGACGTGAGCTTTCCAAGCTGACAGGGCCCGATACTACAGTACAGCGTACATGTTGAGGTAGTAGAACGCCGTCCTGACGGTCTTTTTCTTTCGCGAATCCCTCCAAGATCACAGCGATGAAAATATTTAGAAGGATGAATGTGACGAGTAGCGTGAAGCTGTATAGATACACGAAAGCCACTGGCGAGCCACACCCATTCAGCGGTACACAGTCTACAGCACTACTGATACCGCACGAGTTGGGGTCGTAAGGCGGGTCAGGCACGCAGTCTTTCTGGTTCGCGAGTTCGTACATGACATCATTCCACCTCTCCCCGGTAGCACAACGAACCTAGAGGACAAATAAAAACATGAAATAACAGTAAAAAAAAAGTTGACTTGGGTGAATCGAACAACCATTACCAGGGTGATCATGGCAGCCAATAATGACTGGAAGTTTGCCGTCGAAGTAATCAAGTCGCCAAACTTTATTTTCGCGAACAACTGCACCCCCATTGCAGCATAGATAAAGAAGACTAGAAAGAGAAGTCCACCGATGTTTGCAAGTGACGGGAGCGTTATCAACAAAGTATTGAAAAGTTGACGTAACGAGGGTGCCGAGTGTACCAACCGGAATAAACGCCCCACGCGGAAACTTCGCACTGTAGAAGCCGCAGTCCCGATGGAGCTCCCGCCAAACATTTGGTATATCACACCGAAAAGCGTACCCAGCACAACGATAAAGTCGAAAATATTCCACGGCTCTTTCCAATAGTATTTGCCCAAACCAATTATCTTCACCACTGCTTCAAGTGCAAAAATGCCTGAAAAAAAGTAATTCAGATAGTTTAAGCCGGTCTCGTATAAATCTTCTTCTCCAAAATAATCCATGGCCATGAACACAGTGTTTAGCAGCACACAGCCTATGATCAATAGCTCAAGTGTGGGGCTAAGTGCAATGCGAAATAATGCTCGCCGAGTCGTATGACGTGGCGTTTTCAGCTTACGTACAGGTCGTAGATTGAGCATGGCGTCGTTGATAGTTAGCCATTCTCGTTGAATCTGCGATAGATGAAACGTTCCATCCAGCTTCTCTTTCATGTTGTTAAAGTTCTCGATAACAACACCGACGAAAAGTTGCATAACAAAGAATGTCCCCACCAATATGAAGCAGATGAAGAAAAATGCCCAGCTCTCGTGGTGGTTTGGGATCGGCTGCATGTCAATTTCCGTGGCATCCACGCTGGTAAGCATGATGGTGACCCAGCCCTCCGTTGTAGTCATCTCAAAGAACGTTTGAATACCATGAATCACGTTATCGAAATTCTGTGGTATTGTTTTGTCCCATGCTGCTCCAAAGAGATTACAGATTGCTCTCGACGTCAATGGTCCGTCACTTGATAAATTGCTGATCACTTCGGCTGTCGAGTGGTTGAACCAAGTTTGTTCTGCTACTGTCAAGTTGGTCCAAGGTCTTGGTGAAGCTATAAACGCTTGCTGGGCTGAAGACAAAGCAGCAAACACGTTGCCTTGGCAGCTGTAGAACTTTCCCTTCAGGTTGTTAACAGCTAAGATGCTGAAAATCATGAACACCAGCAAACATACCATGATAACGTTCACAATCTGCGGGATGGACGCAATCAGTGAGCTCACCACCAGTTTTAGACCAGGGTTCCGATTAATCATTCGCAGAGGACGTAGAGCCCGAAAAGTCCGTAGTGTTTTCACAAATTTGAACTGAGAACTCCCTTGGAACATGAAAAATGCCGCCGTTGCTGTGATGACAAAGTCCATCAAATTCCAGCTATTGCGCAGGTACGCTCCCTTGTGCAGCACGAACCCGTACGCAATGATCTTGATAGCTACTTCGATCATGAAGAGCACAGTTAAAACTGCGTCAAACCACGATAGAATGTTGGTAAGCAAGCTATCTGGTGAACTGAGTGGGTTGTCAATAGCTAACTCGATCGTGCTGACGATTATCAACGCCAGGGAGAAGTTGTCGAATTGCGGATGCAGAAGAATTCGCGTCGCTAGTTTTCGAATGGGATTGTCCAGTGCGAGAATGAACAGTGAGCGATGCAAACCCAATCGGTTCTTAAGAAAACTCGAGCCATGACGTCGCACAGCACCTGGAAGTTCATGGAACATACGCGACGAAGTTGCCAGCGCTTCTCGGCGACCACCGACAGTTAAACGACTTCGACTCTGCGTTCGGCTTCGACTTCGAGTTCGACTCCGACTTCTTTCCTCTGTAGTGCTGGAGCGGTAGTCCACGTCACGTCTAGAGGATAACTGGTTATTAGTGGTCGGGGCGACTCGAGATTTACGCTTTAAGGCCTCACGTTGGGCGTCTCTTTCCTCGTCGTTTGACTCGTCAAAGTTCCCGAGTAAAATTGCCAAAAACAAATTGAGCACGATAAAGTTTCCCAGCACTACTAGCGAGACGAAGTAAAGCACGGCAGACCACCCAGACGACCTCCATCCGTCCATCATTACAACGTTCCAGTTTTCACCTGTGAGGATCTAACGTAGGCTGTAAATGCTTAGTGCAGCACAAGCATTCAGACAGGGTAACAAACCTGAAATACAGTGACCACTGACCACAACAGCGTATCGAAGTTCGCCCTTGGAATATAAGCAGCCTCGTGGTTCCGGTCCACAGGGTATCCGTACTCATCGAAGCGAAACTGGTTCGCGAATGTTTGCATCCCAATAAGTGCGTAAATATACAGAAACAGCATGAACAAGACGCTGAAATTGCCGACTTCTTGCAAAGTGCTGATCATTGTAGTCAACAACTTCTGTAGGGAGGGCCAGGAGCTAGCAGAATAAACAGAGTAATCCGTTAGTGTACTCAACTACATCGTAGAAATTAGGCTATTTGGAACTTACCGTGCGAGTTTAAACAATGCAAAGAGTCGAAAAGATCTCAACCCTGAGAAGGAAGATGCCGTCGAAGACGCGCCTTGTTGACGTATAAATGCTGGCGGTGACAGGATTAGCTCCACGGTACTGACCACAACAATCACGGCATCGAATTGGTTGTATCGATCATCGCGCCATCGTTTCCAGCCCAAGCCGACAACCTTCAGGAGAGCCTCAATAAAGAACGCGAGCGTCAGAGCAAAGTTGATCTTTTCCACCGTCTCATTAAGCTTCCTGTCGATGGGGTATTGATCCAGCGATAAAATGATGGTGTTTAGCAAGATCAGAGTTGTCTGGACCACATTGAACATCCAGTGATTTACTATAGCACCGAAAAGACTCTGCACGCGTGAAGGCGAGGCCCCGTCGCTTGCAGCTTGGGCTGCTCGTAGTGCTAGTGTGAGGGCTCTCGCTTTCTTCTGTGTCTTCCTTTCCTCCGCTTCGAGGAACGAGGCTTCCGAGAAGTTGTCCCAAATGACCGCCAGTGTCAGATTGAGCATGAAAAACGAGCCAAAAATGATAAAGGACACGAAGTAAATGACAGCAACCGTGCCATATCCGGCGTCCTGCAGCATGTACATGATATCACTCCTGCAATAGCAATATTCAGTTCACTCTCACATAACTACTACTCTAGGACAAAACCAAGCGTTAAATCTTACCAGCCTTCACGTGTAATACACTGAAAGATTGCCAATGATGCCGACCCAATGCTGTCGAAGTGCAGGAAGCCCCAATTTAAGTCAGAACTATACGTTGAGCTCTGGAGAACACGCTGAACGATTAGCGAGTCCGGGTGAGTAAACCGAAGGTTCCCAAAGTCGTCATAATCAGACCCGCAGATCTGACACACAAGGCACCCAACATTGCATTAGACGTTGATTTATAATGCATAAGTCTGAAAAATGACCCACCTGCCCGTCCGGGCACTGACGGAACTGGTCGTCGCCGAGAGAACACGTTCGAGCGGGGGTCTCATCAGCTACAGGCCAAAAGCATTGCCGCGGAGTTCTCCATGGAGAAGTGTCGTGAGACCAGGATGCATTCGAGAGTGGAATTTGATCGTTGTACTCGTCAACACAGGGAAAAAGCGAATAGTTCGCTAGTACTGTCGCTTTGTACTCGTCGAAGGTTCCAAATTTGACGTCGGGGTTCACGTAGACCGGATATGGCGTGACACGACACCGAGGGTGCAATACACCACTCCACAGCTGCACTCCAATTACCCCGTACAGAAAAAATAGGAAACAGAGAAATGCTACGACCGTTAGCAGCTCTGGAATAGATTTGAGCAGCGCCGATACAAGTTTCTTCATGCCTGTAATTCATGAAGACAGCATCAGCATCTTTCATGCATGAAAATCTTTTCACAAAACATTATAGAAAAATATAATTACCAGCGACAGCATTCAAACTTCGCAATGGACGTAATACCCGGAACACTCGTAGCATCGACACGTTGGGAATACCGGGAATTACGGCCAAAATGCTATGTACATATCATCGGTGAGCGAGCTGAAGCGCCTTGTCGGCTCAAAGAAATAGTTCCCTCTAACGTACCCGATGAACACCACGATAAAGTCCATCCAATTCCATGGATCCATCAAATAAGCGCCTTGGTCGCCAATTAATCCCATGGCGATGATCTTCATCGTACACTCGACCGCGAAGAGAATGGTGAAAATGGTGTCTGCCGACGTCACAATAGCATTTCGGGTGGATTGAGAGCTGTCCAAGTCTCCTTGGTTATCCACCTTGCTGTAGTCGGCGATGGCAAGGATAATCGAGTTCGCAAGAATTAAGAAGAGGATAAACTGGTCGAAGCGTTTCCAAGTGATGCACCATATCAAAGCCTGTCGAAAACGACTGCGCTCAGGGAAAATACCCAGCGAGCATGGCGCAAACTGGCAAAAGCAACAATAAAGTGTTAACGTCATTTTCATCTATAAAATACACTGGTGTTATTTACCAAAAAGCGCTTCCGGTGCACGAAAAAGTTGTAGCGATCTGCGATTTCGCTCGATCCGTCGTCTCCAGGGTAGCATCCAGGCTGCAGCACCATAAGAATATCAATATTGGTGCAACAAGAAAAGTGTTTCTCGTGTTGGAAGAAATGCGCACTGCCGCGTTGATGATTTCCTGGATGACGTCGATACTACTGTCGGTCTCCACTTGCAGCTTGACTGTGCTCTTACTCCGTGCCTGTGTAATCGCATGCGAGCGTTGCGAGTCCAGCTGAGATTTCTTGAGCAGCAAGCCAGTGGTGGTACCATGCATCGACTTGCTCCTGTGCCGCAGCTCGGAGCTCATGGTCAAAAGATAACGTCTTTTCGTAGCCTTGAAGTTGCTCTGTATTTCGGCCAATCCGTGATCGAATTATTTTGACCAATCGCAGTAATTCACGTGGCGCACCCGAGTATCTTTTGGAGCCATTCTCGAAATTGACTGGGAAATTAAAATGCGGGGAGTGTTCGTGTTCGCGGCGGCAAGCCTGCTGGCGAGCGTCCGGGGTATGTACTCGAGTGAGGACAGCGTAAAGGTACTGGACCCGGAGAGCTTCCGTGAGCAAGTGCAACAGGACTCTGGAGTGTGGCTCGTAGAGTTCTATGCGCCATGGTGCGGCCACTGCAAGGAACTGGCGCCTGAGTACAAGAAGGCCGCCAAGGCGCTGGAAGGCGTTGTAAACGTGGCTGCTATCGATTGCCAAGATCACGAGGAGTTTGTGAACGAGTTCGCGGTGCGCGGCTTCCCGACCATTAAGATCTTCGGTGAAAATAAGGCGAAACCCTTGTCTTTTGACGGCGAGCGCACAGCCAAGGGCCTCGTGGACGCCGCACTCACGGCCTCGCGTCGAATGGTCAAGGCACGTATGTCGGACGGCACGGAGAAGAAAAAGCGGAAGCCCAAGCCTCAGCCCGAGAAGAAATCGCCCAGTGGTAAGAGCAGTGTCATCACTCTCACTGACGATACGTTCGATGAGATGGTGCTTAACAGTGGAGACGTGTGGCTCGTGGAGTTCTATGCCCCATGGTGTGGCCACTGCAAGGCTCTAGCCCCAGAGTGGGAGCAGGCCGCGTCCGACCTGAAGGGGTCAGTTAAGGTCGCTGCACTTGAGGCGACGGCCAACGAGCTGAAGGCGTCGGAGTACGGAATCCAGGGTTTCCCGACGATTAAGGTGTTTGGACCGAATGCTATGGGTCCCCAGGATGCTGAGGACTACCAGGGTGAGCGCACAGCTTCAGCTATCACCGAGTTCGGTCTCGCGGCGCTGGATACCTTGGGTGGCGGATTGCGCATCAAGGAACTTGTGTCGGCTGACGCTGTCACGGACTTTTGTGAAGGCAAATCCAGCTGCGTTATTAGTGTATTGCCTCACATTACAGAAGGTGGCAAGAGGGCGCGTGAGGGCTACATAAGCACACTCGAGGAGGCTGCGAAGCTGGTGCGTGGCAAGCCATTTAAGTTCGGATGGATGCAAGGAGGCGACCAGCTTGACTTTGAGAATCGCTTCGAGCTGACGTTCGGGTACCCGTCGCTAGTGGCTATCAACTTGGACCGCAAGCGCTACGTGGTGCAGCGTGGTGCCTTCACGGCGGAAGCGATTGCTGAGTTCTTGCAGGGCGTCATTCAGGGTCGTGAGTCGACGGTTGGCTTCGACGAGCTGCCGGAGATTAAGACGATTAAGCCGTGGGATGGCAAGGACGTGCAGCTGGATGAAATTGAAGAGGACGATGAGGACGACGACATCATGAACGAAATCCTGGGCAACGCCGCTGAGAAGGATGAACTTTAGGATCAAAGTGCTGCATAGAAGATCATAGCGTGCGCTCTGAGCATCATTCACACAATCGAAACGTGTTTTTTTTCGCTAAGATTTCTGCTTGTGCCTGCACACATGGCTACTTCTGATGTACAGTATTTGAATGGCATTGTTTTTCTAAGCATGACCCAGTTGGATTCTTGCTGTACATGTAATGTCCGCGTTGGAGAGCGGAAAGCCGATATCGTTCTGACGGAGAAAAGCAGGATCAAGTCGTGCATGCAAACAGAGAAAGCCTCCAAATCTACGCTTTTCGCTCTTCGTCGACGGACTCGGTCACGGAGCAACCACGCAGGGACGTCACGCCTAGCAAACGTTTCTCTACCGCCAAGGTGACCAAGCAGAATTTTGAAGCGGGGCGCGATGCAGCAGTGTTGCAAAACGGTCTTCACTGTAAGAGTGGTGCGACGTCTTCATAATAAAAGAGCTACATGTATCGCCATCATGGTGAACACGACCTCGAGTCACGCGTGCGGCGCGTCGAGCGATGCAAACGCGCACGTCGTCGGTCCTGTAACAACGCCGCTTATTACGCCACTTCAGTGAAAGTACGCCGATGGGACGTGAAGTCTTCACGTCCCATCGGCATGCGTAGTTACTATCGCATATAAACTCGCATACACGCCAAAAAATCAAATCCGAAAAGCCAAAAAGATTCGATCTTCCGTCAATCAGCGATTCTTCTCAAGAATTTTCGCTCTACCATTGGTCAAAACTTTTGTCGACGGCAACAACACCGCAACAAAGAACAAGCACATGGTTCTGCTTGGTGCCGTAGTTCAACAAGCGCAGGGAGACGCTCGCTGCCGCTGCCTTCTTCATTCTTCATTTCGCCTCCAAGCGTCCGTGTTCCCAAGCTTCACTAAGCCCCATCCAAGCCTATATACAAAGCAATACCATGCCCAATCTTCTCAAGGATCTCGTCTCCATGGTGTCGCCTCAGTTCAAGCGTCCGATGCAGTCGCCCACCACCACGAATCGCCTCTCACCAACCAAGCAGAACGTGGCCTCTGGCTCCTTCTCCGACTTTGCGGCCCGAAGAGAAAACGCCAACGCGGAAGTGACCGTGGAGCAGCAGCAAGACCAAGCCAAAATGGACTCCTTCGTCTTCTTTAACATGATGCGGTAGAAAGACCCGTCCGTTGGCCTCGTCGGGGAGGCCGTGACTGCGAACGCCATGGTTTCGACTTGCCACTACAAACAACTCAGTACCATACTTCGATACCAATGACGGGGACTGAAAGCTCGTCTGCATCTGCGTTGGCCTTCTGGGGAAGCAACCAATAAATATTTTCTCAAACTCTCGTGCTTTGCACGGGAGTCCCCTTGCTTATTGACCATGCTGTCATAGTTCATTTGACCGTTGCACTTTACAAACTCGAAAGCTCCTGAGATGCTTCAGCCCTGATTTCGCTAGTGTGCTGTCCGGAGCCGTTTTCGATCGAAAGAACACCAAACTTAGCTTCAAAGTTGATGACTTTAAGTCGTCGATGTAAGATGTGCTGCAAAAATTCTGTTAAACAGGAAGAAAGCGATGAACAGCAGCGTGTACTCGCGTTTAAACCGAGACATTGTGATCTTAAAGCACCAGTCGCACTACTCTAGTCTAGGCTTTGACAACCTCGATCTCGAAAATAAGGTCCGAATTGCCAGGGATGTCGGGTCCCGCGCCCTCTCGGCCATAGCCAAGACGCGACGGAATGGTAATCGTGCGCTTGCTGCCAACACGCATGCCCTCAATACCGATGTCCATGCCCTTGATGACATCGCCGATGCCATGACGGAAAGTAAACGGCTTCTTGCGGTTCTGATTGGCGTCAAATTGCTTGCCGTTGGTCAAACGACCACGGTACAGGATACCCACCTTACGACCGCGCACCACGGGGCGACCCTTGCCCACAGCACTGCAATAGCATAGCAAACACTACAACGTTAGAGCGAGGTATTTCCAGCAAGCAGTTGTATCCGAAGCACTTACACATCCTCGATGTTGACGCCCTTGTGCACACGCGTAGCAATCTTGGCTTTCTTTGGGACATCCAAAGATTCTACCGGGGCCGCACGCTTCTTGCTCTTCGGGTTGGTAGCAGTTACTTCGGCGAGCTTCTTGGCAGTTTTCTTCTCTTTCTCTGCCTGCTTAGCCGCCTTAGCTTTCTTTTTGGCTGCCTCTTTCTCCTCCTGCGCCTTTTTCTCAGCCTCAGCAGCAGCAGCAGCCTTTTTCGCAGCAACCTCCTTCTTCGATTCCTTCTTCGATTCCTTCTTGATCTCCTGCTTAATTTCCTCCTTAATCTCTTTCTTGGGTGACTTTTTCTTGGGTATCGGCTCGCTGTGAGAACGCTCCTCGAGTACTTCGAAGCGGTTCTTCTCCTCGTCATTCAGCTCCACTTCTTCTTCATCAGCTTCGTCGACATCACTATCACTCGATCCGTCACTGCCAAACACCATCATCTCTTCCTCGCTATCGCCGAAATCGTCAAAGTCGTGCTCGTCGCCGCTGTCCTCCTCGTCATTTACCTCGATAAATCCCGTGAGATGGATAGCGTTAGGTCCATCCACTACGAATTCGACAGCACCATCCGTAGGCGTGAATGTCTGCGTTAGGTTCCATTGCTCGGCTACCTCGGGCGTCAGCGTGCACAGCGCAATCTTAGACGTTTTGGCCACGACAGACAGCGTAGAGCGGCCCTCAGTCGCATCCGCTCCGAGCGCTGCAGAGTTCAATTGCATACAGAAGTCCTCGACCTCGTTCGGCCACTTAAGCGGGTGTCCAGGCTTCACCACGTGACCGAAGAACCCGGGCACGGGTGCCACCTCTGCTGGTACGTCAGACTTCTTGCCCATTTCGCACAATTTGTTGTGACCAAGGTTTGGCAGTGATTGGCGGAGCGAGCGTCAAAAAGTCAGCTACCGGTATTTCACCGGTAAACTACATGTAGAAAAAAGGCAAATTGACGTTGCAGTGGGCAGACGACAATGGGGTATGATGGTTACAAGGCCTCATATCTTACGTTCGGGCTGTATCGCTAGTTGGTGGCCTTTTAAAATGCATTCAATCTGCAGCACAACGACCGCTTGAATTAGAGATACTGCAAGTCTAGATGTATGAAAAAAACTCACCCGGCACCCTCCTAGCGTGATCTGCTTTCCTGATTCCAGACGCTGAAGATCGCGTACAAGGCGAACGACAGACGCCAAACGTGGAGGTGTCTCTTTGGTTCCGATGTGCACAATGATAATTGAAAGGAGTCGATACAACAGTTCTTCGAACATATTTGGGTCGTGGAAAACAGCCAAGCGCAGGACGACAAGATCGGGCCCCCAAGTAACAGTGTACTTGCGAAGCATAGCTCGTTCTGCAGATGCAATCAAGATCGTTAGAACTACAGGTTACAAATACAAAGTACCACTCACAGACAGCACGCTTTGCTTTCGTACCAATTAGTGCGAACTCTTTCTTAGCTTTGTCTGAACTCACCTGGAACCTAGCAAACAGATCCAGGACCTCAGCCCCTTGTTCCCTTTTAACCCGCTTCAACTCCTGTTCAAGTGATAATAATCAGGTCAATATGTTGCTGTTCACATAAGACCACGTATAAATTGCAGTTGTTACCTGGCGGATCCGCACACGGTCGTACATGAGATCATCATTGGACGGATCGTGTATCCACGTCTGCTGAAATCGATCACACGTCGCCATCAACTCATCCTTGGTGACAGAGAGCAAAGGTCGCAAAAGTGTCGCCGAGTAGTCTGAGTCCAAGCCTTTACCGTGAAATGAGCGGTCTGGTAACCCCTCAAGCGAGAGAAACGGCAGCTGGTTTGCAATCCCTGCCAGGCCGTTAATGCCACTCGCCCTTCCAAGACGGAAGAGTGTCGTCTCTAGTTGATCACCAAGATTATGGGCCACAAACAAACAGCGCACACCGTACTCCAGACATACCCGCCGCAGCAAGTTGTATCGATACTGTCGCGCCTGCTCCTCTATCTTGCTATCCCGTGGCTTTACTGGCCTCAATAAATCACTCTGTTGTTCTCCTCCTGAATGCTTCTCTGTGTCTCCAAGATGCCATTCGCACACTTTCGTAACATGTGTTATGCCTCCGCGCTCAGCACAAATTTTGGCGACCTCCAGCGCCTCTCTGCTGCTCCCAATGCGCAGCTGATGATCCACAGTGACCGCCAGTAGCGGCGTCTTGATCCGGTTCCCATGCAAATACTCTCTCAGCAGCAACATCAGCGCCATGCTGTCTGCACCACCCGAAACCGCCACTGCAATGGGGAATTTCCCCTTGGGTGCGCGTTGCCCCTGATCCATTGGATAGAGTTGATGATGAAGCCTCTTCTTGGACAGTCCGCATTTGCGCACATTCTCCGCAAATATGTTGGCCGATACGGAGTCTTCACAGTTCCTGAATGGCGCATTGGCTGCTTCCGTAGACAAATACGACCTAATAAGCGTGCGTTGCAAGCGCTGGGCATGCCCAAACGACACTAGACCGCGAAGCATTGAGCTCATTTACAACAACAAAAAATTCCAAATAAAAAAAATTGATGGACCAAACAGCAAATTTGGTACCTCAAATACTTAAGTACGGTACCAATTGTGTAAAAAAAGAAACTGAGTTTTATTTCAATTTTTTTCAGATTAGACTTGCAGCTTTTTATTTTTGGTTGAAGTGAGCTATTAATGGTCGAGGACGACTTACCAAGCTGTTCAAGTGTAGCTCACCGAACTCTATATCACTAGCTGTGCCTGCCTGTCGCGACATGGAGCTTACGCAGGAGCTCGTGAAGAAGAAAATCGACTTGCTGGAGCAGCAGAAGGCCAAGTCAACTAAGCTGAATGACCTTTTCGACGGTGAGCGATGCTAATGCAGCTTGAAGCTCTATTGCAAATTGTCATGATCTCTTGTTGCGCACTACCAGCTCCTGGCGGGTTCAACGATGTCTCTCGAAAGACTTGCAAGAACTTGGAGGCAGCTATCACGGCATCCAAGCGGCCAGGATACTTTTCGTACTATGAACAACCCGAACACGCCAAGAACGCCGTGCGTAGCGGCGAGGTACAGCGATTGCAAGAACAGATTCTGCAGCTCCAGAAGCAGATCGACCAGCTCACTGTAAAGATCGAGAAGAGTGCCGATGGTCAAGACATGGGGCACACTGAAACCACAATTACCAGCTTGAAGCATTGGCTTGCGACCTACGGCATGCCGAAGCAGCAATCAATTTCGGACCTGTACACCGTCTTCACTCCAGACAGGAAGGTCTACGGTGGCACAACACACTACTCTGCCTTTCGCAGCCAGTCTAGCACTATGAAGAAGGGCCGCCTAACCAAGTGACCAACGTCTGAAAAGAATGAAAAACTAGAACGAGAACTACGTGTTGAACCTTAAGCCCCTCGAATTAAAGAGAGCTTTAGATCATATCAAATGTGGATGCAAGATACTTAAAAGGTCGAGTACTTGCCGAGCTTCTCCACGTCACGGAAGTCCTCGCCGGCGTAGCGAGCCTTGTTGCCAAGCTCCTCCTCAATACGCAGAAGCTGGTTGTACTTCGCCAGACGCTCCGAACGGCACGGGGCGCCAGTCTTGATCTGGCCGGCACTCAGACCCACAGCCAGGTCAGCGATGAACGTGTCCTCTGTCTCACCACTACGGTGGCTGGCCATAATGCCCCAGCCGGCCTTCTTGGCCATCGTCACGGCCTCGATCGACTCCGTAATGCTGCCAATCTGGTTCACCTTCAACAGAAGAGCATTGCAAGCCTTCTGCTCGATGGCCTTCTTCACACGGGTCGGGTTCGTCACCGTGAGGTCGTCACCCACGATCTGCACGTCCTTGCCCACCTTGCCCGTGATCTTCACCCACGACTCCCAGTCATCCTGGTCGAACGGGTCCTCAATGGACACGATCTTGCTCGAGTCAGCGCACTTGGCGATGAAGCCCTCGTACACCTCCAGCAGCTTGTCGGCCGGGATCTTCTCCGACTCTGCAGCGTTCTCGTTCTTGAAGTCAAGGTTGTAGCGAGCGTCCTCGGCGCCAGTGTAGAACTCCGACGCGGCAACGTCCATGCCAAGACGCACCTGGTTCGTGTAGCCAGCGGCCTTGATGGCCTCCTCGATCAGGTCGATGGCCTCACCGTTCGACTGGATGTTCGGGGCGAAACCACCCTCGTCACCCACAGCAGTGGCGTCCAGGCCGTAGCGACCCTTGATCACCTTCTTCAGGTTGTGGTACACCTCCGAACCGATCTTCATGGCCTCCGTGAAGTTCTTCGCACCCACAGGAAGGATCATGAACTCCTGCATGGCCAGCTTGTTGCCGGCGTGCGAGCCACCGTTGATAATGTTGAACGACGGCACGGGCAGGCATGGGGTCGGGTTGCCGGCCAGGTCGGCGATGTGCTGCCACAGAGGCTGCTTCTTGGCAGCGGCACCGGCACGGCACAGAGCAAGCGACACACCCAGAATCGCGTTGGCGCCCAGCTTCTTCTTGCACCAGCCCCACTCGTTCTGCGTGCCGTCCAGCTTCTCCACCATGAAGCGGTCGATCTCGGCCTGCTTCGTCACGTCCTTGCCGATAAGAGCAGGAGCGATGATCTCGTTCACGTTCTTCACAGCGTTCAGGACACCCTTGCCCATGTAGTCCTTGCCGCCGTCACGCATCTCAAGGGCCTCAAATTCGCCCGTGGAGGCTCCGCTCGGGACAGCGGCACGGTACTCGCCGAGCTCGGTGACGAGGTCAACCTCAACGGTGGGGTTGCCACGCGAGTCAAAGATCTGACGGGCCTTGATCGACACAATCGACACCATTGTTTTAGAGGAGGAGAGCTTGTTTTCAGGAACTTGAGGCTTAAGAGGCCAATTCGGAAATGATCCCGTGACGAAAGCACCCCTAGATCACCCCCTCCGATCTTTCTCCCCCGTCCTTCTTAAGACTAGGACGTACCTGATTAAATTAGGTTTATAAGAGATTAGAAATGCTTCTGTGAATCTGACAAACGCCTTGATTAATGAGTCAAACCCTAGTCTAGGATCGTGCAATTGGATTGGTCAGTACTATCGCAAGAGACACGCACCAGCATGGCGTGAACACTGTATTACAGTATGATATTTGGTTACCATTAGCCCCTGTTCAGAACAGGGCTAATGGTAACCAAATATCATACAGGTACTCCGTTCTGAAAAAGATAACCATTTCAAATTACATTACAGCCTACCCAAAACAATACCCCCTCTATGCCGATCACTTTTTGGATTTCGAATCTCCCGCGCTTTCCCGACCAGACTGGCTCCCGCTCCCAGCTTTCATTTTGAAAGCTGGCACCTGGGGGAGATCACAGACAGTGAGCGCCAGGCCGTCTGGGAGACCTTACTGTTTCGCAGCGTGGGAGGAGTGCTCAACATGGAGAGATCGTTCGGGTTGCAGCGTACTTCCGTGTGGGCCGCCAAGTTGTCGAGCGAATTTGGAGGCGTGGAATCAATTCGATGGGAGATCGAGTAGCAGCCGTGGTCAAGTCAAGGAAGAGCGCATGTGGTAGGAAGAAGGTGGCTCGAGCTGAGCTGTGCGAGAGAATCGCTGCAGTTCCTGTCAATGAGCGCGAAAACCAGCGTCTGCTTAAGCGCGCGTCCAACATGAGCTGCTACCTGGCTCAGCAGCTGATAAAGGAAGGCTACATACGGCGTGCGCTCAGACAGACCCGCCCACTACTTACACCCACGCACAAGTTGGCGCGCCTCCGGCACAAGGACAAGCAAGTACGAGCTGGCACTCTCCCTACGTCACTGCCTTGTGACGCTACCTCACTCGCCAATGCTAACGCGTACATGCTGCTGCTTGCAGCGAGCAGCCCCCCACCGCCTACCGCTGAAGTTCCAGAAGCCCCACTGAGCACCCCTTCAGAATGTGGCGATGTAGCTGCCGTCCCTGATCCGTTTTTGTATCTGTAGTTGTACGGCGGAGCAAGAACGCCTGTGCCTTGCTTAGTTTCTCACTGTCTGCTCTCGGTCATAAAGCTAGCTAGCCAGCCTCTCACAAATTAATAAACGCTCAAATGAACAAGGCGGAGCGCTACGCAAAAAAAAAACAAATGGTTTTCTTCTTCCGAGCGGAGGTAGTATGATATTTTTGATAGTAGTAGTACTATTTTAAATATTAAATAGTAATATTAACTCATTTTTGCAAAAGCTAGCATAATATTTTAATATTAACTCGGAGAACTGAAAAATATTAGATATTACATGATATTTTATGATATTTTCCCACTCAAGTACGTGTCTTGCCACCTTACCCTAGCGGAGCCAAAAAACTTTTTCGATCAGGTTATCTTACCTCTACCGTCTGTCAGTCCGTCCGAGGGTAGGGTTCTAAAATGTAACGCAAATACGCGCGTTCTACTGGCTGCCGAGCGCAGCGAAGGCGGCCTCGATTCGCTAAAAAGCTGTCGAGTGCAGCGAAGGCGGCCCTCATTGGCTAAAATCGGTATTTTGTTTTGTACACACTATATGTGGACTACACATCGTACTTAAAACCACCGTTTAAATTTCATTTTGCCTTCATTTCTAGCTGCGGAGCGCCACCTCACGCAAAGGGCGCTGTGTGTGTGCGAGTTAATTTGCATAATTAAAAGGCGCCGATGAGCACACACGTACTATATCGTAGTAGGAGCTGTTGAAAAAATTTGTAGGCTTCGGTGACTCATATTCCGGGCTCAATCGAAACTTTAGTACTTATTGGATATAGAATGATGTTTTAGGCTTCGTAGTACTTTATTTATACAACTTACAATATTATTTTTCTTAGTACTATTATCAAGGTATTTTATATTTTTGCTTGCAGTCATTTGTAGTAGTAGTACACATAATAATTATATCAGCGTTTAATAATAAATAACAATTGTATTACTATTAATAATAATGTGAAAAACGTAAAATATGACTATTATGGCTTACACCCCTGCACCCCACACTGCCTCCGTAAGAAAGTATTGTCTTCCTTTGTATTTGCGCGCGTAGTGTGCGACCTTGTAAGCTTTCCAACAATATATATTGGGAAAAGCATTTGTTATTAAGTGAACGCGGAGGCACGTGACTAAGCAAGAGCACGAAACGCGAAGGAACATCGACCCACACTATGTAGACGACGGGATAGAAGAGCAACACGAAGCACGGAAGGCAACGGACGATGATAGAAGACTTAGCCGATGCAAACCATGAAGTTTCATGCGTAGCGTGAAAGACGGAAGAACACGCAGTCATGAAAAGGACAGAAGGTCAAGAATAGGACGAAAGCGTACGAGCCACGGATGGGAACTAAATATATAAGCACCCCAGCATACTGAAAAGCACGGCTACGGAAGAGCACGCAGCGGTAAGAGTGCACTAACAGCAATTCTCCCATAGCATCACGGTAGAGCACGGAGCACGGTCGACGGACCAGATATATAGACGCGGGAGACCATAAACGTGAAAACACCGAGCATTTGAGCACAATACCCGGGTAGAACCGGATCTTACCGAGCCAGGGAGCACGATACTACGGTAGCTCATAATAGAGCGGACGGCAGACCAGCGCCGACACCACAAAATAAAACGATGACTTGGACGGTGGCCAAGACACTAAGCCATGATAGAAATGCGGCCACTGGAGCTGTAGACGCGAAGTCACCTAGCCACGGCGCACTATATCAGTGTAGAACCTGAGCTTACCATGCCACGGAGATCAATAGCGCATTAGAATTCGATTGCACGGACGGCAGACCAGCCACGAAATGGAAGGGGGCTCGGGGTGACCACGATTGTAGAGGACGATGCCGCTGAAGAGCACGATAACATGGGCAATGCAGATGCAATCTGCGAGCACAATACCATAGACAGCAAAACCATATCGCAATTACACGATGGCGTTATAATGCGGTCGATGAAGCCTCACCAGACGAGCCCGATACACGGGTGCTGGAACAACACGACTGCGTGGAGGCACCAAACCACGGAAAAGCACCCTTCGGCTAGAGAACCAGCAATGGGAGGCGAACGGTCACGAAATACTGTGTATCAGGAAGCCGGTGCAGCCACGAAATGTTTGAGAGCAGGAAATAGTTAGCAGCCACGAAAGACGCAGTACTAAAAAAAACATGAACCCAAAAGAGAGAGCTCTTAACCACTAAGCAGCGTGGGTCACGGGTGAGCAGGGACACACGAAGCCAGGAAGATCACGGAAGAGCGCCTGCCACTGTAGAACATGACATCCAACCTGTAGTACGGGGTAACGAGAGCGTACCAAACCACGATATTATACAAGTCAACATAAGACTACGGAATGGTAGGTGGTTAAGTCCTCGA